GCCACCCGTACAAGTGCCGACACACCAGGTGCCGGCTCCGAGCCAAATGTGGCGCACAATAATAATGCACGCCCGTCAGGTTGTTTATAGCCACCCGGGGACGTAACACCTGGTTGGAACACACATAAGTGACCGTCAGTTACCACGCCGGCCACTACCCTGGATGCGCGCAGGTTACAAAATGAAAACGTGACTTTAAATAGTTTCAGTTGGCTACCTATGCAACTTTGCGTCGGAAATGGAGGCGTAGCTCACCGGAACCGAAGTTTCGAACAGTTTGAACTGTTAATCGTCTTCAAAGCGTTTGGCGCGGATGGCCAAAAATGCTGTCCCAACTTCGTTCTCCAAGGCCTGCTGCCCCAGTCATGCATCGTCCCAGGCAAATGTTTTCCACTCGCTGACCCTAGGACCCTTGACCAACCTCATCGCACGCATACAAGTGCGCACACAGGCGCGCACACACGCGTGTCCAAACTGGTCGCGGTTGCGTAAGGGCCACCTGAACATGCCACATCTAACCGACGCCAACTCAATACTCGACAACCCCTCGGGCAATGCAACACATCAATAACATCCGACTTGAACTCGATCCATAATCAAATAAAAGCAACTGCCGTCATCACCACTCACAACATACACTGTCATTTGGGTGCTCTAAGCCGTGAATGGAAGCAGTCAACACTAGCCCTGGTTTCGCTAGCGGACGCTGCTGTCTGAGATGGCGACTCAGGTTTCTGTGCATAATAAAGCTCTCATTCCGGTGATTCCTGCTTTTTACTAATAATCTGAGATTCATCCTGGTGATTTTAATCCTTTCAGCACCACCACTATCTAGACGCTACAAATCGGTGACCCCGACAGCTGTCGTCTCTGGTGTCGTAGGCTTTGTCGGCCGAAGGCGGGGAAAAGATCGCGAAATCGAGCCTCGAGTGGTGCACCACTTGGGCTGTGTATGACTGGCTGACGACGACTAATAAGCCAGAAATGGCACTTCCAGTAGCCCTTGTCCTTACCGGCAAATACTATCTGCATAGAATACTAGCCGCTTCCATTGCTGTCAAGGCCCGAGAACTGAGACAGATCGACTGTCGTTACCAACGATATTCACTCTAGCTACTGAGCCAAGAGCTAGGTACCTTGTCGGTTTAGGTCAGGATATACTGACATTCCTTGATGGACTTTCGGCGACCGCTAACGTAATACTCTGATCTAAATGGCCGTAATTTCGAGGCTCGGATGGTGCGCCACACGGGGCTGGGTATGACTAGTTGACGATGGCTAATAAACCAGAACTGGCCACTCCGGTCTCCCTAATCTTTGCCGATGATACCATTTCCCCTGAAGATTTTCCACATTGCATGACACTCACAAATCTACTGGCCGTCATAGTCTCTCTTTTCACAGATCTAGACAGCATATTAACACGTCCTGACGTCTTGAAATGAGGTGAACAGCAAAGTATGGTTACATGTAGACTAGGGGATGCGATCTGTGTTTGATTGAAGCCTATTCGAGTTCAGTGTATGACGTGAGGTTTTTTAAACAGCTCAACAGAAGTATAAAGGGACAACACTGCAGGTTTATAAATAAGCACATTCTGATTGGTGTAAACGATACATTCGTATTCACGGTTGAATTTTACAAAATCTAAAACGACTTCTAAGCAGAACTACAAGAAGTGAGGTAAATAATTCCGCCAAAATACAGACTCAACAGAAGTACCTCCCAAAAAAATCAAAAAGAACACAGTACCTTATTGGTAAAGAAGACAGTACCTTAGTTTCTCCTGCAGAATCCGGCCACAAGTAGTTCGAATGGTGAGCTAATGTAGTTCACATAATCACTTCAGGCCTACATGCATTACAGGCATCACAATAAACAAAGAACGCTGATTGGCTGTGCTGCTAAACCATGCTAATCAATGGTTTCGGTTGGTCGCACGCGCAGACATCCTAATTCGTAGCCTAGTCACAATCATCAACTTTTATTATTTTGATGATCCACCCTGTTCGCAGCAAATTCACCTGTAACAGCTACCTGGTTTGGCGTCATTTTTGGGACTTACATGTGCACGAGTTAGTGGAGTCAAATGCTAATGTTCGACTCGTCCTAAATGCAAGTATCAGGGTTTTTCCTTATGTAAGGCATAAGGTCATGAGCATCCAGTCCAAAAATGAGCTTGATAGCATCACGTGGTCACACCTCATCGGTCTGCGGATTTGATATTAAACATTCGGCAGCCAAAACGGTCAGTTGCTAATAGACGGATTAATTCGACCGCCAGAACACCTACTCGTTCTGAATTTGCATATCATGTTGGCGTAAATATCTTCAAAATCTTCACAGCATAAAATTCAGACCCATAAATTTTTAAAACCAGCTCTGAACAGTTGTCCCATGAAGGTTTCAGATGCGTTCGTTTGGTCATCTTCTGAATCTTTCACAGCAGAGGTTAACTATGTTTGCATATCTGAGAGAACAATGCGACCGCTGCGACAAGGGCCCTATTTGCCTCTTGACAGGCGAATAATGTAGATACATTAGTTGGAGCGTTGGCTGTACCAAAGCCTTCGCCCTTGCTTTCGTGGATTTGTACCCCAATGAGGCCGGCGTTTTTTTCAGAACGGAGCAAATTAATTATTTAAATCTGCCAAAACCCTCTATAAATTAAGTGTACTTGGTAGTTATTTGGTGGATCCCAGATTGACTGCCTAGGAAACCCTGCTTACTGGCTAATATTCGAGTCCCAGGAGGTTATTAAGAAGTAGATGTGATCGTTGAGACCAGAATTTTATTCGTCTGACGTATCGCAATCCGTCGCGGATCCCTCATCAGAGACATTAGCAGAAGCGGGTACTTCAGGCACAGGGAGTTTCAGTATTTATAGGATATACTGACTATGATACTGCACACTGATGACATTTAACGAATTACCTATCGAAGATAATTGCCCGATTGTGCGCTAATTGCTTGATGGCCGGCGTGCGGACCGTGATCTGCTGATCTTTCATCCCACGTGGTGGAATTGGACGTCATGGATACTCAGCCAGCTGGCCTTCAAGGACGCGTTGGCCTGTGCGTTCCCCAAGTGACAACTTGCTTTGGCCAAATTGAGCCCCAGCACCGAATATAGCTTGGATAGTTCGTTGCGCTTCTTTGTAGATTGAGGGCCCGTGAACCATGACTCAAGTAATTTGCTACTCGCACGATTGTCACCTCGCGAGAATTTCGGCTTCATCAAATTTGAATGTGGCTGCCTCGTCAAATGAGCCGCAACTTGAGATTTGGCGTCGGTACCCGTTTCTACTATTGTTTTTGATTAAGGATTTGCGACGGATTTCGAGACGTCTGGCGAATAAAATTCCTCTTTCAGTTATCACATCTACTTCTAAGTCGGTTTCTGTATAAAATCGACGTATTCTATACGTTGCAGTAGGCTGGGAGGGTAAATTGGTCCATGTGTGGTTAAACTCATGGGTTCTGTTTGAGGATCTTGTAGTTACGTTCACTAGAACGTTCGTTGTACTGAAACTTCCTCTTTTTGTCATGGATTCAAATCTCTACAAGTTTTTAACCACTGGGTCAAAGGAATTATTCAAATCCGCCAAACACCAGTAGTGGACTTCGGTGTTAACCCGTTCGGAAGTTCTTACACTGGGCACACGTTTTTAAGGTTGCATAATTGGTTCCCCTAGCGCCAAGTGCTAAATAAGCCGAGAATTAATCCGACAGGCATTCAGCATATCGGTCAATCGACCGCCTAGTGTAGGAAGCGAAACATCACCTCTGAACGACAGCTAGATAAAGTGCAAATGCGCCTCGATTTATCTCCATTGCCTCAGAATGCCGCATACATGAGCAACCCCCAGAGTCATTGAGGTACCAAACTGTCACCTCTGCTCTAAATACAAACTTGACTGTTTTCGTGGCATCCATCACATTCACCCACAAGCGTCATGAGTAATACGAGTTGACTTTTGGGAGGAAAATAATCCCGAGGCACCTCCCATCCCTGGAGCACTTGCAATTAACACGCTTGGAAATGCCCGCGATCTTCTTGACGGAGCGAAAGTGACACGACCGCTAGGTGCTTGGGTCGCCACATCTGGGGGACCCACCATGGATGAGCGGCCGCTGGACACACTTAAGAATGCGGGACGGCGGCAGTAACAGCGTCAAAG